GTAAAATGGAGTACACACTTTTTATGTTAATTCTGTATGCCAGTTCTTAAAAATTATGCTCATGGTTATTTCATTTTTTTGAATTCATAGAGATCAGTGATTTAATTTAGTGTCACTAACTCAATTATGTATTTGTTTGAATGTCGCGCAATTTCCCATAAAGAAATGCAAAAATTACTTGCAAACCGTTAAATATTTCTATTTTATAAGTCTATATATTGTTCAAGATTACCTTCTTTCCAGAAATTTGATTACCATTATATGGTTTTGTTATAATTCATGAGTCAGATATCTTTATGATTGGCTTTTTAGTCTAATACATCATTATTATCAAGAACAACTCTATTGACCACAGTGGGCTACTCGGAGCAAATCAAATGATCAATCTGCCTCTTACGGGAATCACCGATGAATCCCTCTTCCCCTGGATAGTATGGTCCTTTTGGCTAACCCGAAACTAGAAAATCTTCCAAAATCGAACCTTCACAGCGAGGGAAACGATCACCAAAGCATCTCACAATGCCTATGAATGGCTTATGTCTCAAACAAAGGAGAAGAAATTGATCAGACAAACTTGTGAACAATCCGTGATTTTATTAGAACACCGGGTTTTCTCAAATGCAGCGTGGAGACCGGATCTCAAAACCGCAGGACTAGGATGGATAATCAAGGACCGGAATTGCCACACCGTAGCGAGAGGATCCAAAACCGAGAACCGTATCTGCTCACCGTTGATGGTGGAGGCTCTAGCTATGAAAGAAGCCCTATGCCAAGCGTCATCGAGGAAAATCACCGGGTTTGTAATGGGATCGGACTCCCAACGACTCATCAACCTCCTCAAAACAAACAAGACCCAACTAGAGATCTATGGGATTACACAAGATATCATCAAAATCGCATCATCCTTAGAAAATTCTTTCGTGTTTGTATCTAGATCCGAAAATAAAGAGGCTGATGCTATGGCTAAATCAGCTCTCATCTTTGTACCAAACAACCCGGTTCAATCTCCGGTTTAATTGAATGAAAACTAATCTTTTGATCAAAAAGAAAAAAACTCTATGGACCACAGTAGAATCTAACTGTCTAGGAAAAATGATGACTATCAAACTATCTTTTTTTATGTTGTGATCTCATATCATATTTAAATATTGATGAACTTCATTTGGATAATTTATTTTATAATAAGAATTATAAACATGTGGGTTTTCTATAAGTTTTGATTCATATATATAACTTAAGTGATATTTATGTTTTATTTCAAATTTAGTGGTATTCGGTTTATATATATTTTTTGCTAAAAAAATCGGTTCATATATTTTTGAAAAAATCTAACTATAAAACTAGAACAAAATAAGACCTGAAGTAAAACTATGGTAATGCGCCGATGAGCACATTGAATTATCCATGTCAATCAAATGTGTGGTGGCCTAGTGGTAACACAATGGGATTGGTTTCCTTGTATCCCGGTTCAAATCTCCTTTGGTACGGAAGGTTGTTATTTAAATCAAAATATCCAAAAACCGCATCCGGATACCGAGGAGATTATAAACCAAAGTTTCAGAACACCGACGGTTTATAAAAAAAAAAAAATTATCCATGTCGCTGAGTAAAATATATGCATACGAGCTAGTTTTTCTAAAGCTAAGAGTTATACTTTTAGATTTTGGGCAGTTATTTTATTTCTAGCTAAGTATTCACGTTTTCAATTGCAATGATCATATCAAAATAAAGACAATATCGTAAACTAAAACAATTTCGGAAATGAAACATTTTTAACTCCGGGTAAAGGAATTACTTGCAATATGATTACTATTTTAAAATGAGCTTGAATATTCTTCTACAAATTCGTTGTTAAAAAGGAGAAACGTAATATTCACAACTTTGCATATACTTTCTAAACCCATAATTTGTGTCATATCATAGTAAAGCGTGTGGATTTTTGTGTTAGTTTATGAGATATTGTTAGTTAGGTGAATAAAATCTTTTATATTATGTCTCTAAAGATGTCATGTCCCTTGAGGCTTACTTTATGATGGAGAAGGCCGGTTTGGTTATCCTTTAGGGTATCAACCCATGTGGGTCGAAAAAGTCATAAACATTACGATTTTGTTATTATATTGATTGATTTGAAATCTCTATATAATTTTCAAAGTACATCGATTTTTTCTTTTGCTTAAATCATTGCAGATGCACAAACCTAAAATCCTTCAAGTGTAAGGGAAATCTACTGAATTTGTAGGACATCGTCGACATGCATGTCATAGATTTAAGAGTATTAGAATTTTAACTTGGATACATGTGTTGATATTTTGTTTTTAATCAATTAAGTTTAATGATTTGTAAAGAAAAATACGTACTACAATTATAGTCCCTTGTTATATAACTGACCCAAACACAAATCTCTAAAATATCCAAAATATCGTCTTTTGATCTTGCATAATTAAAATATTTGAAATGCTACATTTTCAACCGGAGTTGAATGAATTGTCCGCATTCTACGGAACTCATTTCTAGAGTTTGAGCTTGTCTACAACTCAAGAACAAAAATGTGAAAGCCAATTTGTTCGCAAGGAACATTAGAGACCGCAATACAATTTTTTTTTTCTTTTTGGCATTTATATTCCTTATCGATTCATTTTATAATTAGCTAAGTTAAAAAAAAAAATCATGCATTTACTTAACTAAATAAGAAAAGAAATTGTGAAAGAAAAAATAATTTGAACATATCAGATTAAAGGAGGAAAAGTGCATCTTTGCCTAAATGTATTCTTTGACAAAATTGGTTCTTAGTTCTTGTGCAAGTTTGCTTTTCAATGGATCGAAACAAATAATAGATTTCGAGGGAAAAAATCTGGGTTCAAATGGTGACACAAAATTGTGCAGTGCGGGTAGGAAAATTGTGCGGTGAGAATGGTACAAGTGCGGTTCGTGTGGAAAAATACATTATGCGGAACAAGTGCGGTTTGTGTAAAAAAAACGGAACAAAACAATGTTTGATTGATGAAAAAAATAACATACGGTATAAGACAATTGTTTGATTGGTGAAAAACAATAAAAGCAGTATGAAATAGATATTTTATATAATAATTTTAGAAAACAACTTGAATAATGCTATTACCACTCTCTTTTGTACGTTAATTACAAAAAATCTTCTAATGTTTTTTTCCAAACTTCAAAAGTTATCTCCATAACAGAACGTAAAAATTAGTTGAGCAATTCTTGTTTATTTATTATAGTGCAACATAATTTTTATTGCACTTGATTACAGTGCAACATATTTTTTATTTATTTTTTGCACTTGATTACAGTTCAACATAATTTTGATTATGTTGCACTTGCAACATAATTTTTATTTACTTTTTAATTACAAAATATGTGTGGGTCACATTTTGCTTGATTGGTGAAATGAATTTGATCCGTCTCGCTTTCTATGAAATCCGCTCCGCATGTGGTCTTACAATCAAGGCCTCAGTTTAGGAGTGGCAAAAAAATGAGAAACTACCACAAAAAAAATCTTTAATAAAATTTGGTTTTTCAACTAAAATCTTGAATTCTTTGACTTTCTATTTTAAATCTCTAACAAATTATTTTCCCTGATAAAATCTCAAACTTTTTTGCTTTCTATTTTAAACGTTCAACTAAATTATTTGGTCCTTTCATATATAAATTATTCTAACAAGTGATCTACTGGTCAAGGGGAAATTCATTTAAACTATTTTGTCCTTTTTCAACCCACACATTCATATATGTGTGAGTTTTCTTTTAATTACTTTCAATTTTTTTAAAGATTTAATCCGAAATATCATGGTTAACACAATTAATCGTGGTCTTGAAAGTTAACCCCACGAAAGTAAAGAGAAGAATTTTAAAAGAAAGAAAAAGTAATAAAGAGGCATTGAATCTAAAAGTCTGCTGGTCAACAGACGTGTATGACGAGAGATACACCACGCAGGTCAATATATTTTATACGATTTCCAATCGTGAGATGGTTTCGATTTTACGATATATCTATAAATCAATAAAATTAATCTTGGAGGATTAACAAATGTTCAAAACCTAGTTTTATTGTAAGAAGACTTTTTCTTGTATATCCTGGCGAAAGCATTTTGATAAATTTTCCTAATCTAATTAAGTTAATTATTTTGTTATTGTTAATTGAAAACCCTGACATAATTTCCTCATCTCCGAAGCTCTTTTCTATTTCTAAAACTATTTTAGAATTTAAGAATTTGTCTTGATCTAACCATAGATAATTTAGATGATGGCGTAGAATGTTACAATTGTTTGATTAAAATCTTATATGAACACTCTAAAAAACTTATAGCTTCAATCTTTGTATAGTAAAATACATAATTCAACCAAATAAAAAATAATATGTAGCATTTAAACAATCAAAAACATAATTAATTTTACGTGGAAATTTGAAAACATCACATAGTTAAAAAAAAAAAACTTATAAAACATCTTAAGCAAACGGAGGGAGCATACAAAAAAACCACATTTGACAAGAGTTATAAATGGAGAGAGTTGATGAAAACACAAAAGCTTAGTTTTATTTATGATATTATTTCCACACATGCACTTTAGTTGACTAGCTAGTTTTATTTAGTTTACATTGCACTTAGTCGCGCGTTATTGAAAATCTCTCAGAGATTTAATCTGTTTAAGAAATAGCCAACCCAGGCAGCCCTTGACGGCAGGCACGGACACATTGTCGAGGAGCCGGCGTAACGGAGCACCAACTGCATGCAGTGTCTTTCCAATCATTAGCTTCTTCTTCTTGAGTAGTCATCTTCGTTGCTGTCTCCACAGAGATTCTTGCACTTTGGCACACCGACATTAACGCAGCGTTGATGATCACCAACATCACTACTAACCATGTTCCTCTCATCATTAGTTAATTGTTTAATTTATGCTCTATATGTATATCTTTCTCTTTTGTTGCTGCATTATTTGTCTTTATATAGGCAGGGGTGCATGAGAAGGAGAAGACGAATGTTAGGTGTTAGGCTTCTCTAGACATGCAAGAAGCCATGTAATTTCTGTACAATTTTTGCTTACTATCCACTTGCTCAACCATCATGCTTGTCCTATATCTATACATGTCCTCCGAATTCATCAACCATAAAAAGAAAAGGAAATAATTAACCAAAAAAAAAAAGAATTAGAGATTCCGTCAAGTATATATCCTTGATCCTAATTAGATCAAATCTTTCCAACTTATGTGTGTATATGTTGGAACCTAATTAATCGTGGATATCTCAATTTATGTGATTGCTTTATGATTGTGGTCATCTAAGTCAAATCGTCTATCCACGGGAGATTCGATGTTATCATGGAACGTCATAGCAGACCCCTCATGCATTAATCTTTGCAATGATCTTTTTGAAATCTCGTGATCATTTCTTCTTCTCATGCCGCTATGCATCAACAGTAATTTACCAAAGGGTTTCTACAAGCAAGATTCACTAAGCAATGGACTAGACTTGTCGAGCTAGCCACGAAAACAATCTTTCCTCTTAAGGTATGTTTCCAAGCTAACAATACATGAGATTTGGCGAAAGATAAATGGACGTCACTCAACATATATATAAACAAGTAAGGAACCGGCTCTCCTCTATCCAAGACATTGCTTTAAACCTAAAAGGGGCTATGGATAAATATTTCAAATCAAATAGCGCATCATAAAATCCTCAAAATTCTAAGATTCGGTCTCACGTTTTATTACAGCATTTTCTCAGCCTTTTGTAACTCTTGATGTAAAACAATTTTTGATTTGAATAAGCTTTTTTTATATTAAAAGAAAAAATTGAGAATGTTTTGTGTATGAATATCATAACTCAAAGTGTTACTAAGGACTTTGGGACTTAATCTT